AGCATTTTTTATAAATTTCTTAGCAAGATATAGTTCCGCTTCAACAAAAAGACATTATAATGGAATTAAACATATAGTACGTTATCTCCGAGGAACAATTGATATGAGCTTATATTACTCCAATAAATCAAAGACATGATTAATTGGTTATGCAGTACACGAGTTATTTATCTAATCCACATAAAACTCATTCACAAACCGGTTATATATTTACATATAGAGATACAAGCTATATCATAGCATTCTATGAAGCAAACTATAGTCGTCACATCTTTAAACCATGTAAAAATGCTAACAATTCATGAGGCAATCGAGAATGTATTTGATTAAGATCAATGATCCATCATATTAGAGAGACATACAGTTTATCCAATAACAAAGAAGTTTCAACAATATTATATAAAGATGATACTGCTTGCATAGCTCAATTAAAAGAAGGATATACCAAAGGTGACATAACGAAACATATATCACCATAATTATTTTTCACTAATGATCTTCAACAAAATAGTGATATTGATGTTTAACAAATTTGATCAAGTGACAATCCAATATATTTATTTACCAAGGCATTACCCACTACAACTTTTGAGAAGATGATTCGCAAGATTGAAATATATCATCTTAGAGATTTTAAATAATGTTTTCAATAGGGGAGCCTAATATGGGGATTAATGTGTATAAGAAATATTGTACTCCTTTTTCTTTACCATAATTTTTTTCCTACTCGGGTTTTTTCTAGCAAGGTTTTAACGAGACATGTTCTTTATACGATGTATATTAAGGGAGAGTGTTATGAAATAATGATTTTTCATATGAATATTCATATACTTTTCATATCCTCACTAATCATAATTTTTAATGTGATTCAATTCACCATTCAATATGAGAAAATGAAAGGATGTTATAATTAATTCAACAATTTATATATTTTTAATTGTTCATAGTTTCTTCAAATTCTCTTCTAAATTTTGAAACCCATAAATAGACTCGATTATTCATTAGTTGGTGTGTAAGTATTTTATAGAGATTGAGAAAATCATTTGAAGTTATTATCTCTTGTATTCACCGAATTCATTTTCCTATCATATTTCTTTCAATTCTACTATTGTTATTATTTTTTTTTATAACATTATCTTATTTATTTATCAATAACTAAATTATTTTTTATTGGGACTCTTGAAATTAGGTAATAGTTGGATACAATTATTAGGGTGTTGCCGCATAATGTGTCATTAAAAAAATATATATTATGCCAAGAAAAGTGTGGATAATCGATTAATTACTTTTAATGATTAATTTTTATTATAATTTTTAAGAATTATAATATGCCAAGCAAAGTATGGATAATCGATTAATTAATTTTTATTATTATATTCTTTTCTTTTATTGACCGCAAAAAGCTTTTTAGAACTAGTTTCTGTGTCAATTAAAATGAAATCTTTTTTCAGGATAATTTTTTATAACATGATATTTTTAAAATTCTTCTGAGTGGTGACCTCAATTCTAAAAAGAATTTACAACTACATATATTCTTAGATTGCTTTTTTTTATTTCAATATTTTTTTTAAAAACCTAATTTAAATGCATACTTGTTCTTATCTTTTTAAAAACCAAACCACTATTTCACTCCATCAGTAACTTATATTGATATAATAACTCATTAAAGAAAAATAAAAAAAGAAATTGATATTAATAAAGAAGTGTAAAGGAATAAACCGGGGAAGCCTTAATTGTTTAAAGTTTAGCTAAAGATATGACCTCTCCTGCTCAAATTAAATCAGATGAAGAAACCCTCATCAATTTGGGGCAGGCTTTTATGTTAAAAAACAAAAAAGAAAAGAAAAAGAAATGGGAGCAGCCTGAAATTTAATTGCATGCATACTAGTCAAGATCGAAGTGAGGAATTTATTAATCTATATATACACCCAGTTGTATCACCATCATACAAGTTTCAATTGCTTTAGGATAAAGCAAAATCTGCTCATGGATGGTGATTGATGACATTCGACTAATTATTTGCGTTCTCAATTTTTTGCACAAAAAAAAAAAAAAGATAGAAGATTCATGGATAAGATTAAGCATGAATCATTGTTATCTCTTTTAAAAGGCAAAGATGGTCAAAACTAAAGGAGGTGTTCTCTGTCCGTACAATTCAAAGGATTCTCCAATTTTTTTTCCGTTTTCACAAAGCTATCAGGATTCAAATGCCAGTTTTGTCACTTGTAAAAAGTGATGGTGGATTGCAATTTCTAATTTTTCTTAAAAAAAAAAGAAGATAAAATCCTGAGTTTTGAGAAGTTCATTGGAATTTGAAATACACATTTTAGTTTTATTAAAGTAAAGTGATATTTGATTATTAGAAATGGAATGATGAGATAATTGTTTAGTTGAAAAAATGAAGTGAAAATAGGAATGAAGAATAAAAAGAAAAATAAAAATTAAACATGGAGATTTTTCACCTTTCGACTTTATATTTGTTTGTTTTCTCACAGTAACGGCTTTGCAAAATGTCAAAATCTCAAGCAGAACAATTTATGATTAACGGTCTTGAAAAAGCCACGTGGTATTTAACAAAGTTATCCTTTGGTTCTTGTCTTAAAATGTTGGGTTATCAGTTTGAGCCTTATGGGCTTTGCATTCTGGGTTTTAATTCCTATTGTATCTCGGGCCTTTATTTATTGGTTCGTTGCAAAAGTTTTCTTCCTCACTGTCAGTAGTTTTTTACACCATTTCTAACTTGCCATCTCAATATACTTGAGTTACAAAAATTCATCGTGGAAAATATTTCTAATTTATAAAATAAAAAAAATTATATTTATGATAATTTTTTAAGAAAGGAGTGTTTACTTAATATTTTGTTTAACCATCTGGCTCTTTCCATCATGCTGAGATAAAAAAGCCACTGAGATTTGATTTCTTTCCTTTGCTTTGGTAAAATGAATATTATTGCAATAATTACTGTTTTAACATAAGGGATTCAACTTCTCAAGTGTAGTGTCGGGCACTAGAGGCCTCGAGCTTGCCATACTACAATATTGCGTAGGCATAACGTCAATAAAATTTTTATCCATAATTCTATTGACATGATGGTTAATAAATCAATGTCTCATTTATAATAACAATAGATAAATCAACGTGAAAAATTGAAATGTTGTTGTGTCAGTATGCATGCTGACCTGATAGTCAACATATTAACCAATTGATTATTATATAAACATGATTATTGAAGTAGGCTTGTTGAAAACAAAAAACAATAAAAACCAATTTTATTTTTTTCATTGAATTTGAAAAAAAAAAAAAAGGAAAAATGAAAATAATACAAAACGACTCTTCGACTATCAAATTTTTTTAATCAATGTTGAATTGAGATTAAAAATAGAAACAAGAGGAAATATCATTCGGTATTTCAAAACAAAACAAATTAAGTCATGATCATCCATTGCGAAACACTTGCAACAAAATTGATCTAACATCTAAAGTTATGCCTAGATCTAGTGTTATTAAACTTAGATTAAATTGAGCGGTCCTACTAAAAATTTGATGATCAGATTACCTAATCGGTTTGGGTTGATGCTAAAGATTGGCTCTATAAGAGATCTCGGTTAAACCTAGGTAAATTTGGTAAAAATTCTAGCTATTTAGAATAATGAGTCAAACATTGTTCTAGTTTTTTTTTTTTTTTTCTTTTTAAGGAAAAATTGCAAGTGCAATTTAGATTTGCAACCATCGGTTGTCTAAAATTATGCACTTATTTCTTATTTATACTTTATATGTTGCAAAATATATTTATGTTATAGTAAAAATCACTAGATAGTTCAACTAGTGACCCATTAGCAGATGTAGAGACTTAGTAGTTCGATCGGGTCATTGTTTGTCGTGTAAAACATCTACTTGGTGAGTTCATGGATTAAATCAATAGATAAAAATTCAAAAAGACAAATTCAAAGGACAAATATATACTACTCTTTTAATGAAGCATGACTTTTGACATGGGTATCCAATTGATGTGAGTCTTATTAATCCAAAAGGCTAATTTAAATGCCATAACTTAGTGGGAATTGTAGAGCCATTAAAAACCATTTTTGATGTCAAAATTCACTTTGAATACTCGTTTTTATGTCGTTCGTGATATAAATTTGTAGAACATGCTCATATTGCTTATGTTTAGGAATTATAGCTTTTATATTTATATTTTATTTTATTTATACATTAGTTTCTTGGATATTTTTGAATTTATCGGTGATTTATTCCTTTTTATTCACCAATGTTATTCTAGGACGACCATTTAATCTACCTTTAAGTATTTGATTGTAACTTATTTATTGAATAAACAATTAAACTTGTGAATTTTTCTCTACATCTTTATTGTTGTTTTATTTTTAGGGTTTTCAAAAAATAACAAACCCACTACTCGTTGTACAATACATCGATCCAAATTGAGTGTAATAATATTACCCGAGCCAATCTAAAAGGAAATGAAGCTTTTGAAAATAAGATCTTACTCTTGTTTCTTCTTTTACTCTATAAGTCATTTGATATAAAGATATTTGAGTTCATTTTGTTTTGTAGTTTAAGATTTCAAATATAGGTTAAAAAATCTTGAATTCTAAGAATATAAGAAACAATGAAACATTGTATTTGTTATATAATTAGGAATATACCGATAAGATTGTAAGATGATAAGAGTTGTTTAAAAAATAGAAGTCTACCAAATACTTATACTTATCAAATAGACTTTACGTAACTTATATATACATCAATATATAAGACTCTAATGGTGTGTAAATTCATCAAATATCAAACATCTTCATGGTATCGAGCCTTAATAGGCTTAGCAATCAAAAATTTATCTCTCAAGTTAGAAACCGATGGTGAAACTCCACCTTCCTCCATAAGCCATATCTCTATTACTCCATTATCCAACACCTTGTCCCACTTCTCTTACATCATCTCTCCCACCAAACAACAATTAAGCTAAGCTTCATCGGTTTCCTTCTATGGCGGACACAACTCCTACCATTGTTAAGAAGTCACAATCTCATCCATATGTTGATGGCACGGGAGAGGCTTCTCTTTCCATCATTGGTACTTGTCCGTTAACCTTTTCTATAAAAACTAGTATTTTCAAGACCATTTTATCCTTAGCTGGATCGTTTCCACCTTATTTAAAACTATACTCGCTTATGTTATTAGAGTAGGTGATACCGGAGAAATGTGGCTTAGCTCACTACTGCTTACACCTCCGGTTTTCGCATGTAAATCGAGTACTTTAAGGTGCAACTTAGTTATCTTCATCATGATAACAAAGATATTCTCACCTATATGCAAAAAGAAAAATCCTTTACCGATCAATTGGTAGCCTTTAGTAGTCTCATGCCTCTAAATGATATTGTGGATGCCATTCTTATTGATCTTGAAAGTGCTTATCACTCGTTTGTGTAATCTCCGGAGGCTAGGCTTATTACAATCTCCTATGATGACTTATACGGATCGTTATTAAGTGAAGAGCATCAACTTAATTTGGAGACGACTACATATAAAGTTGTGATAGCACATGCCTGCTCATTTTTCATACTCGTGGTAGTTGCTCATTATTCATATTGTGGTAGCTACTCTTATTGTGGGAAAGGAAGGGGACGAGAGGGTTCGTGATGGTTATCATCCTAAAAACACATCTACTTGTTGGTAATTATTTCCTTTCCTGCTATTCTCGATAGTTTCTTATTGCATATCAAATCCCTCATATTCGGACACTAGCACCTTGACTTGCCACAATTGTTAAAGGCATGGTCATATAGCTCGTTAATCCCAATCATAAAAATAGAAGGACGATATCGGATTCTCTCACAGATCTAAACCGGTAAGTTCTCTTGCTTTAAACTCTTCAAATCAATCTTGGGTTATGGATTTATGTGCTTACTCATCCTCTCACGATTGTTTTGGGTAATTTGTCTCTTCACTCTCATTATAATGGACTTGATAAGGTCACTATTGTTAATGGTATCACACTTTTAATCTCTCGTATTGGTCACTCTTTAGTTTGTCTAAAAGATCACACTTTTGGTTTGATGTGTATTTTATATATTCCTAATGCCTCTAAGAATTTAATTTTTATTAGCTTCTTTACCAAAGCAAATAATTTGTCAATTGAATTCTTTCCTACCTACTTAATCATTAAAGATATGAGGGTAGTGCTTCACAAAGGATAGAATAAGCATGGATTTTATTACTTGCATTGGACCTATTCTTCTTCAAGTATTTTGTCCAAAGCATTGACAACTTCTTGTTCATTTGGGTCAACCTCAATCAAGACTCGTGCGATAAGTTTTTTATAAAAATAATATCGGTGTTTGAAATAAAAAACTTTATTTTTATTTATCGTGCTTGTAGTATTAACAAAAGTACTAAGTTTCTTTTTTCTCTCTTTTTAAATTTAAAGCACAAACACCTTTAGAATTAGTTTATCTTGATGTTTGGAGTCCATCTTTTATTGCTTTAGTGTCGAGTGCAAGATATTATATATTTTTTTATCACTTTAGTAAATACTATTGGGTTTATTTTGTTAAATACAAGTTTGAAGTACTTAATATGTTTATCAAATTTAAACATATTACAAAAAAGTATTTTGGTGTACCTATTAAGTCTTCTCAAGTTGATTGAGGTGGTGAGTATCGGGTTCTTACTAAGTATCTTACAACTAATGAAATAAAACAAAGGAATGCTTATGCACATATACCATAACATAATAGGTGTGTCGAACATAAGCATTACCATGCTTGTCGAAATCGTTTGGTAATGTTACATCATGTTAATGTTTCTTTAGAATATTAGACTTATGCCTTTGATACGGTTGTCTTTACTATCAATCATCTACCTACACCTACGTTCTCTTTTCGGGTTTCATATATAATGCTCTTTCATAAGGATCTTGACTATCATTAGCTCAAGACTTTTGATTGTGTGTGCTACCTATGTTTGTGCCCTTATACTACTAATTAACTTGCTTATAAGTCTCAACGAGTGTGCCTTCTGAGCTTTAGTAAACTTCATAAATGATATTTCGTTTATATGTTTTTAAAGATAAGGTGTATGTTTCTCACCATGTTATCTTCTCTAAACATAAATTTTCATTTGCTATCATTGACGATCCTTTTGGTCTATTGGTATCTTTTGGATTTTTTCTCAATCACATCGAGGCCACCTTTATTATTGTATCGTTAATTTGCTTTTTCTTTCCACATTAGACTTGTTAGAAGGTCTAGTGGTTGTTTGCCTCTAGTCGGCTCTTCCGCTTCACAAGTCCTAGCTGTAACTTCGATCCTGCCGGTATGTCCATTTACTATACAAGTAGTAACTCCAACTTCTATTCCACAAACGTATCTTTCTCTTGCACAAGTACTTGTAGCTGCTTCTATCTCACTAGTTCCCTTCTAATAACATACTACTATGAGATGACAAGCTCTCACTAACGACTTCATCCCATTTAGGTATCAATACGTTATAGACCTCACGTATCTTCTCCACTACCCAATTCTCTTGCTACCTCTCCAAGCCATACGTTGTCTTATGTCTCTCCTCCATATACATGACATCAAATGATTACGGGATCCAAAACTAGTTTATTAAAGCTTAAAGCTCTTTGTAGCATTATTGAATCTTCTATAGATCCTTAAACATGTACCCAAGCTTTCAAGTCCGAGTGCCTAACACCATGCTATGATGGAAGATGTAAATGTTTTGGTTACTAATGATACTTGGGTTCCAGCCCATTCAACTCAAAATGTTATGGATTACAAATGGGTTTATTGAACAAAACATAAGGTTAATGGCAATATTGAATGCTATAAGGCTCGTATAAGTTGCTAAAAATTTCCATAAATGCTTAAGTATTGACTATATTGAAACTTTCTCTCCTATTATCAAGCCCACTATAGTGCATCTAATCTTGTCTTTGGCCATTTCCAAAAATTAAGGTGTTATTCAATTGGATATTTCAAATGCCTTTTTACGTAGGAAGCTTGATGAATAAGTCTTTATAACATAACCTCAAGTTTTTGTAGTTAGAAACCTAACCATGTTTGACTTCTCAAATGTAGTCTTTATGATCCCAAACAAACTCCATGTTCTTGGTTTAGATTTCTTTTTGATTCTCTACTATATCTTTGGTTTCAAAGGCTTCAAGGTCGATACCTCCTTATTTTACTATCGAATGATGATGTTCTTGTTTACTTGCTTAGTGTATATCGATGACATGTTATTAACAAGAAGTTGTCTTATCTTTCTAAGTTCTATTTGTTCGTTGCCTTAAAAGGTTGTTTTGCTCTCAAAGATCTTGGTCGATTGTATCATTTCCTTATCATCGAGGCCATATAGAAGAACAATGGCCTTCTTCTCACACAACAAAAATATATTAAGATCTCCTTCTTCGATCCAAAATGCAAGATAATAATTCAATAGCTTCTTTAGTGTGTCCAAAATTGAAACCCTTTACATCAAGTGTGGTAGGCAACTTTTAGTACCTCACACTAACTTGTCTAGATGTTTCTTATGATGCGAATAAGACTTTGTAATTCATGCATTGTCCTACTAATGATCATTTGCAAGTAGTTAGAGGGACAATTTGTTATTTGAATGCGACCGAATGCATAGTCTTTTTATCTAACCTTCCTCGTCTCTTCATTTGTTTGCTTATAGTGATGCTGATTGGGCTAACGGTATTGATGATAGAAAGTCCTTTACGGGTTATACTATATATTTGGGTATAAATCTTATATCCTAAAGTTGGCGCAAATAACACACCGTCTCTAAATCTTCTACAAAGACCGAGTATAGGGTTTTGTCTCGTTGCGACATTTAAGGTACTCTAGTTATAATCCTTGCTTAGTGAATTACGGTTCTTGTCCTTATTAGCTCCCATCCTATGGTGTGACAACTTGAGTGCTACGTGCTTAACACGTAATCCCCTATTTCATTCACGATCCAAGCATTTGGAAATTGACTTTAATTTTGCTAGTGATCATGTCGATAAAGGCTATATTTTAGTAAGGTATATCTCCTCAAAGGATCACATAGCTAATTGCTTAATTAAGGTTCTTATGAGATAAATCAACGAGTTCAACATCTTTCTCGCTCAACTTGAGGGAGGATGATTGGATTATAAGATGATAAGAGTTGTACATAGAATAAAAGTCTATTCAATACTTATACTTATTAGATAGACTTTTTGTAATCTACATATACATCAATATAGAGGACTTTGATAGCGTGTGAATTCATCAAATATCAAACATCAAAGTATGAAACTTTTGAAAATATAAACTTTTTGAAAGAACAATTTTTCTTCTCAAAGAGGAATTGTTTTTCTCTTACAAAATAAAAGAAATCACACAGTTTCCAATAAATTATTCTCTCTGCCTCCTTTTATTCGTTCACTATTGAATTTTCAACTGTTTATCAAAACACCAATTATCATTTTGCATATGTTGTGTATAATCTCAAAATTATCCACATCTTATAAACAGTAGAAGTTTATATGTCTTGAAATATATATAGTTGCTATTAATCCAATAATAAGAATATGATTGAACACTCATTTTTGCTTTCATGTGGTTTATTTAGAAAATGAAAATGGAAAAACATAATGAAGTATCTCTAAACAAAAATATGGACAAACAAGTAGGATAGACATGCAGGTTGAAAAATTCGAAAAATGTTACATAATCTACAAGAATTCGGACAGCAAACGGGGCCCTAGCTGGCCTGTTAAAGGCAGGCTTGTTTAGTCGGGGTTGTTGATTATAGGTTTATTAGCCTTCTAGGAGTGGATGGTCAAGAGACAGAAAACGTGGCAAATATCGTCGTATGTGAAGATAACAGCATGCATATGTAATAGGGTCTTGAACGTGGTGCGAGCTGTTTTGTGTGCTGTCCATATGAGCTAGCTAGTTGCAGCCACAATAACTGACTCGTGCAGGTTTTGGTTTCCCATCCATAAATTGCAAGGTTTTGTGTTGCGGCCTCGTGTATGAATGAACGAAACCATTCTTAAACAATTCCTCCGCAAACAGATGAATTTAACAGTATTCAGCACTACAACGAATTAAGTATTTACTTGTAATGGGAGTAGAAGACAAGATGGAATAAGCAAAGTCAAAGCGATTAATTCTACGTTCAAAGCACAGACACCAAGAAATTAAGAGCAGTAAATCACATGGGGGACATGTTGGGCACTGGCTAATACCGGTGCACCCCATCCCAGGACTGATGCAGAGGCCAGGCTCGCACACCTCTCTCTCCCTCTCTCGGATTTTGGTCACCGGTTGACAAACACTGCTTGGTTTTATTCCTGTATAATAATAACCCGTATTCCTATGTATTCGGACAATGCCCGATCCTGTTTGCTTGATTTTCCAAGAATTTATTCGCTATATACATAAACACGTGTCTAGTCTGCTACTGTGTGTTTCGTAGGGTAACCATTTTGAAAAACCTTTATCGATAGAATAAATGGCCTTACCCAAGCATAATTGAAGAGAGTAATTACCAGAGAATTAATTAATAATTACTGATTGAACTTTAATTTTTTAGGAGTGATTATCTAGGCATTCTTTTCTTTGGGTTCAATGAACATGCTCATCGTGCAGACCCGAAAAGTAGCAGTAAACTATCAATTATTGTTCTAACTAGTTACACAAACGGCTGAATGGTACTGCATTTTTGGGTCTTTTTGCTCGAGTCTAGCCTGCTTCTTGCAGATAGAGAACCATATGCAGTTATCCATGTCAAGCGATATCAAGTATACTAGGTAAAATAGGATGCAACTGTTAATCAAAAGTAAAGTTATTTTAAATATTTTGGAACTAAATTCTACTCATGCTTCATCTTTTTTTCCAAACCTTTTTCCTATTAACATCCACTTTTTGACTTGACATGCTTCACGAGATAATGACACATCAACATAAAAAAATTCAAAAGTAAATAAATTATGCATCATCAAACAATACAGTTTTGTCATGTTATTTCACACGTCTTGATGGTTAGTGAATATATATATATATATATATATATACTCGCAATCAGAAGAAACGGATATTAACGTTCATTCCAAATCATCATTTATTAACAATACGAAATCAGTAAAAATCTCACGATCCTTTACTTGCATTGTATCCGTTTCTGGCACGCACCCAACCATATACCACCTCATTGAACTTTCATAGGAAGTTGCCTTCCCTATTTTGGACCTTCACAGTCCCTATTTTTATTGTTAAATAAAAGATAAAGAGAGAGAGAGAGCACTTCGTTGATTGTTTATCCAATGAAAGGAATCTTTAATTTTGCCAAGGACAGACACAGTCCTTAATTTCATGGTCTACATGCGGGCATTGGACAAATGGTTGGTTCACTGCTTCAATTTTAAACCGCAATCAGAATCTCCTAATTTATTGATAATTTGTGCTATGTGCTAAGCTAAACACATAATAGAGTTCCTATTCCTCACTGAATTCTAACATGGAATTAACAACGTTAATTTAAGACACATAATATATATTATATATGGTTGATAGTTTAATTACTTGAGATAGGGACTTGGGTCTAAAAAGTTTACTATACATGTAAGGGCTTGAACTTAGGTACACAATCATTAAGACTCACCAACAATTCATGGGCATCTTTGGATGCTCAAGTTTGATATAATTAAACTGGCAGCCTAGTACTCGTAAAAAGACGGCATGCCTAGATTTTGTGTATATATTTTTTCACAGCTATGGTGCTATGATCTTGAAGAAAGGGACCTACGATTTTGAAACTTGGAAACATTAGCAATATTGTACCATTGTCTGGACTTTTAAACAGTAACTTCCTGAGGAACACCCATCAAAGTACCCACTAAGCATCTAAAAATTTGACAGGTAACAGTAGAGGGCTAGTCTGTCACCTAAGAGAAAGATTTGTCTTGATTGACAAATGACAATGCACAGTGCCTTTTTATCTATGACTCAGATTTATCAGCAGGGTGGAAAATATCTTATGAAAGATTAGAAAGTACATGCCCACGTTCTGATTCTGCGACGCACCGGACGCTAACCTCTGCTATCTCTACACGGAATTCAATTCTTAGTAGTGAGAAATAACGTGCTGCCATGGAATGTTAAAAGAACAATGTAGTTTTATTAATAAAGATTAGATAAAAGGCATAATTAAAAAAAAAATTTAATAAGTCCAGCTCAAATTTGCAAGTATAACCCGATGAGTTTTATGCAGTCCAGAAGAATATCAACTTGATGATGCTTTTGGGTTGAACATCCAAACATTCTCTTACAAACCAAAGACATGATTTGACTAATATACCATCATAGAATCCACATGATTTATGATCAATTCCAAGAGGATAAAAAAGACATAATTAAAGAGTTTTTAGGTGAATTATAGTAATATCTTATAAAAAAATCATGAATTCAAATTAATTCTTGTGAGAGTTTTTAATGTCCCTTGTAAATTCGGGAAAGCTTTAACACCTACCAAATACCTGCGAGGAAGCTTGTCCAATTTTTGTTAAAATTGACAATTTAAAGAATTTTTTCTCTTATTTAATTTTTAATTTTTAATTGTTCGTGTGATCTTATCGAGCACCAAAGGAATTTAAGCAACCTACTTCTCATTTTACCCGGAGGATGAAAGACGTCATAAGTTCACGTTGACATCAGTGTATAGCGTGCCTAGCACCTCAAGTTATTTATAGTTAAAATACCAAGTGTTATTTAAACTTAATTGAAGCTTAAATTGCCATGAAAATCTAGAAGATAGAAAGGGAGGAAAAACTTACAAAGAAAAAGTGCAAATGATATGGTCAATAAAACAAAGAATAAGAGATTAGTAAGATATCGATTGGTTTGCATGATATTTTACGTGTAAAATATTTTTTTCGATAACAATTTGTATGGAACAATTGTGATACAAATTGTGAGTTGGAGATTCTAACAAAATATTAACAAAACTAACAAACTACATTTATAAATTATAAAATATTTTATTTTAGTTAGCTTAATCGAGTGAATTAGCAATTATTTTTTTTATTTTTAGAAAGCTAATTAATTATTTCTTTTATTTTAATAAATTTTTTAATTTTTTAACCTTGCTATCACACTTAATTTTATATTAATTTATTTTTAATCATGTTTTTCATCGATCTTTTCATTTTTTATTTTTTAAAATAAAAATTAAGTTAAAAAATATAAAAACTAATTAATTTTTTTAAAATAAAAAGCTAATTTATAATTTACTCTAGGTTTCTGTAAAGCATTTTACATTAAAAAAAAAAAACAAAACAAAACAAAAAAAGTAACTCCCGAGGTGGAAACAAGAAAGTCGAAAGTGACAGAGATGAAAGATGTAGAGAGCAGTCTCTATCTTAAGCCGAGCCGAGCCGAGCAAGAAGTAAAAAATCCGATGGAAAGTGGAAACTGTAAAAGAAAAAAAGAAAACGGTTAGAAGTTAAAAAAAAAAAAAAATGACGAAAGCTAATTAACGGCGAAAATTGTCAGTTAGCCTGCATGAAAGGAAGGGCTGTGAGCCCCCTCGTGAAGAGGCGGGAATCTTTTCGCTATACGGTTATGGGACCCACTCCAAAGAAACTCTCTTCTACAGTTGACAACGCTCAACCACGCTATCATTATTGCTCATCTTGTAATTCTAGCCGCGATGTATATATTTTAAAATAGACTTAAAATATAATCCTCTAGAATAAAAAATATCATTCTTTCATATGATGAAAATCATTTAAATATATATTAATAAAAAATTTAAAAAAAATTATTTTTTATTTTGTTATAAAATTTAGTCTTGATTATGCTCATAACTGAAAATGACCGTTTTATGATAATCGTAAAAGCTGAATAGTAAGAATAAGTGTTATCACTCTATACACAAATAGATAATTTTTAAATTTTCTTATCTTCATCAACTATTGACACAAAATCAGATATAGCTGATAATGTTTTGAAATAAAAAAAAATTTATATATGATCAAAACGCTCAAATTACATCTTTAATTACAACATTTATGATTGACAAAGTCTTGAAGATAAAATTTCTACACCAACTTATAAATGACATCAATCCTAAATGATATGTGCATCTCTCTAAGATAATTTTTCTCTATTAAGTGAATATTTTATATGTTTTTTGATACATGAATAGTAATTTTTAATGCAAAATAAATATTTTAAGTATTTTAAATGTGCATGAAAAATGTTCTATTTGCATAGAATATTTACTTAAGGAGTGTTAGATTATTTTGTGCCATTGGATGAATTTTTTGATATTCGTTAAATATTTTCGATGCATGAATAATTTTTTTGTGCAAATTAATTATTTTGAGTATTTTAAATATGTTTGAAAATTATTCAATGGGTATAGAAAAATCATTAAGGAGGTGTAAGAATATTCTATGAACCTAGGTCAATTTTTCTGTGCATAGATAATATTTTATATAGAAATAAGCGTATTTTTACATTTATTTAGGCCCTCAAATTAATTATTTTGTATAAAAATACACTCATTTATCAGTAGTTTAATTAAAATTTCAATTGAAGTATTCTCAAAAAAAAAAAAAATCAATTAGAACATGAATTAAGATGGTATCATATTAAAAGTAAAATTGTGATAAAAAAGATGATGAAAGAGTGCAGCATGGTATGAGATATTTCATGAGAGAAAAATAAAAAAAAGTTGGATGAGGGAGGGGGCCAGGGCCTGTAGGGTTCTACCTGGGTCTGCCCCTGTATGTATGTATGTATGTATGTATATGTATTATTAATGTTTATGTATAAACATCATGCATAATTTTGAGAATTTATCTTGATTCTGACTAAAGTTTTAAGACTCCTACTTATGTGACAATTAACTTCGTTAACTTGATATTTATTACTTTTTAATTAAAATATCAACAATATGTATTCACTCCTGGATGGAAACAAACACGGTAAGCTTAGGGTGCTTGACACCCTCAGAACTCGACAAAAAATTCATATTAGTCCTAAAGGTTTAAATAATTTTAAATATAACATTATATTTAAGGCTTATTTTGGAAAATAGTTTCATTTTGCACCCCTAACAAGTTGATTACATTCCATAGCCATTTCCAATTTAAGTTATTTTTAAATGGATCCTAATAAATTTCATTTTGACACTCTCACTCTTGAAATTTGAACTTCGTTCCATAGATGTGGCCATCAAGGTATGAATTTTTATATCAAATGATCTCTCTACCAAGAGAATTCATAGACGTCGAAAGTACTCTGAACAGGTACAAAAATGATTAGATAGTGAGTTTCCAGCAAGTTTTTATTTTTTAAATATTGTTCATGTGATTTGGGTGTGTTTTTGGTTTCTTGGTGAAAATATTACTTGATCTCAACTGACTCGTGGGTTCAATTATTTTTCATGTTTGATTTTTTAAAAAACAAAATATATAATGACTCGTTACATTACAACAATTGTATAAAACAATCTAGTTATATAATTAAGTGCAACCATATAAGAATCTGATTTCAAAAATTTCACGATAAAAACTAAAATTTATTTTTTTGTAAAATACAAGAACCAATTTGTCAATAAAAATAAAATATAAGCACCAAATATTTTTGAAAGTTATAAAGATTGAAATGATAATTTATGAAGGATCCATTATATTACTGATTTTTTTTTTTTATAATCAAATAAAAAAATGTAATGAATATCCCAATCCATCCCATTCCTTACACTTTTGATTATGTAATAACGCATCAAACATATCCTAATATCTTTCGAAAGTGTATATCAATAATCAACAATTGTTATATTTTTTAGGTGCATGGCTATCATCCTAAAGCAGAATCATGTTCGAAGGATTAACCAAAATACCAACATCTTTGATTCCTACGTGCTTAATTCATGTACAAATCCTCCCTATATGCATGACAATTGGCACGAAGTACATATAATTTTTCTTCTTCTGGTTAGACCTTTTTTTTTTTTTTGTCCTTCGTGTTCTACCGGTGTAGAGAATTTTAATGTTAGTTTGATGTTATCTTATTTTTATTCCATTAGTCCAGAATACAAAATTTTACGGTTAATAATTTTGCTTCATAGAGATGGGTCATCTTTACGTCTTTGCAACATCTATTTAGTTATTCCCTATTTTAATATTAAAATTATTTTCTTTTTCTAGCTATTAATTTTAGGCTAAACGAATCATATATTCCTTAAATTGAACTTTCAATTTTAAATTTTAAATTGAACCTTTATTAAACAATGTTTCCTTTGAAATCAAGTACTTCCATGCATACAAAAATCTTTTATGACTTTTTTTTCCCTTGGAATCATGATAATATATATTATTTTATGTCATATAATGCATAGTTACAATTGTAAACCTGACACAATCGATGAGCCCCATTCACATACTGTTAAAGGTCAGCATATCTATTAAGGGAAAAAAAAAAAAAAAAGAGAAAAGAAAAAAGAAGAAGACACTGCTCGAGATTAATTGTATAAAGCAAATATTAGATGTTGGCATATGGGGCATGGCCCATGTCCTCCGATGCCATGTGTTTTAGAATTTAAAATGAACAGGTCAGAATTACGATTACTGGGGCAGTACAAAAATCTTTGCTTGCCTAGCTTGGTGTACGATATTACAATGCCAGAAAGTGTTGTGTGTCGAAGCTTTTGCAGTCCAATATGGAGTGTGTCTGTACCATCAGAATGATGATGGGTTGTTTGGGAATAGAAAGTCAAAAAGAAAAAAGGTGAAAAGTCAGAAAAGGGTATAGTTGAAATGTCCCTAGTGACTGCGGTTGTCCATTGAACTTGATTAAATTTGGTTGCGAATCAAAATTATTTGAGTTGTTAACTTCAAAAGAGAGCTACATCCATTATATTGTCAAAAATATAGCCCCAACCCCACAATTAGGCAATCACGATCCCCCCTATGAATGCTCATGTTCGTGCAAGAACATGGTCAAAGCAAAACATGGTACTGGTTTTAGTGGTTAAAAAGGCACTACACATTTTGATTATTTTTAATACAACCATTTGTTGTTAATTTTGAAATTTTATTTCCATTATTTTTAGAGCCAAAATGTCAAAGATGAAAGTTATATTCTCATAATAGCTGTATAGAGGATAGACTATGCCTTACCCCAAATAATTAAACTCCAAAACAAAAAAATTCATTACATCCAAAGTATAATATATACGACAAAATGATGGAAAGTCGAGTTTATGTGAGGAAAAGACCCCCCAAAAAGGAAAAAAAGTGGTTTAAAAAATACACCATCCTTATCGTTTGGTCCATGGAGTTTCTTTTAATCAACACGAGATTTTTCGAGTAGTCATTCACATGCTTCATGTAGGTCGAGCTCGATATAATGATTTCAATCAATGATTTAGCATATGGACTATTTAAAGAAAAAAAGTGGTCACTAAATTTTGCTCTATGTACTGTAAGTGTGACCCACTGACTTAGCAATTATGAAGGTGCAGCCTGAAAATTAAGAAATTTTATTTTTATTTTTTTAATTTATGAATTCAAATTTATAAATCACCTTCAGAAATTTTTATTAAATTATTTTGAGTTTATCAAATTAAAACTAACGCAGAAGGTGAAGCGTTAAAATTATTTGGAGAAAAAAATTTTAATTACTAAGGTACAACGTGTCTTTTTATGGATTTGGATCTATCAAAGCTCCAACCCATGGATGGGCCCATATACACTTTCAATTATAATGCTGACAAAGGAAAAGCCAAGAATGATAATAGTGTCCAGTGGAGCTGGTGCTCGGTAGATGATAGGGCTACACTGCCGGTGGTAAATGAGACGCAACAAATCTCAGCCTTTGGGCTCCACTTTCTACTTCTTTCTGTATGCTTATTTATTTTTGCTTCTCTCTCTTTTGTTTTTGTAGAACATCTCTTTGGATGACGGTTAAAAACATAGAAAGAGTCCAATTTTGGTAAACAATTGTAAGATTACAAAACGTGAAATAGAAAAGCAAGCAAAAGCAGCAATTATATTAGATTCTTGATTTGTTAAAGATACAAAGCTGAAGAGTAAATTTTGTGATGAGTCTCGTACGACTCGTCTATTCAAATTAAAAACGTGGTTCGCGTAGGTGGAATGAGTGGAATGAGAGGTTAGAATTCATAGAAACATTGAATGATTCCTTGCATTTAATATATGCAAAAAAGCCTCTCTGATTGAATAAAAAACTCTTGACAGTTAAATTAGTATTCAAAAGATAATATTAAGACTCGATACTAGTCATTACATGAATTTGCAAGATCTATCTGAATTTCAAATAGTCCTTTTCGGTTCAGAAAAATTGAGACTAACCAAGTGCGAAAGTAGTAACTATAGAGACTATCGATTACGTATCGTGATAGTAGCGACTTTCTAAAAGAGTTAAAGTTTCGTAAGTGTTACTCGATGCGAAACCCATTGAGGCATCGGTAATTCCTTCCTAGATTAAAAAACAAATGTGTGTAACAAATAATATGTGGAGTGTTATGTGTAGAGGCATAACTCTTTATCTAGTCTCGAAATTAAAACTAAGAAGCTATAATTAAAATTTTACAAGGCAAGACAAAACACAAATAACATATTCACAACATATATATAAATAAACACGTAATTAAAAGAAAAATTTCACATAAGAATCATTCATATAGGCATAGAGCATAATATATAACTAGAGATTCATTCACACATGTATTCAAAACTTGTCCTTAGCATGGCATTTCTCTAGTAGAGTCGTCATTTTATCAACGAAGTCCGTAGAGCTACATGGGAGATGAAGTTGCAACCTAGCTAATATGAGAGAATTAAAAAAACTATAAATAAACTAGTCTTCATAGATATCTAGGTAAGGAGTCGATTATGTATGGAGAAGATATAATATCATGACCATCTCATCCTACCCGAGGTAGGTTGCATTGTTTATATGTGAAAATAAAAATTTAGTATTACTATTTTATGTTTCTATGTCTATTTGAACAAATTTATTTTATTGGGATGGAATGATAAAGTAATTCGGGATTCAAACCGGTCCAAAGCCAATACCTATACTTAAAGTAGAAAGCTAAAGAAGCTTGAAAGTTTGGCCAATCTTTAGTAAACACAAACCTATACCGATAAGTAGGTAAGTTCTAAAGATTGGGAGCCTATATTGACATGAATAGGACATCATCGATAACTTCGCTCATACAAGTAGAAAACCACCATCGACTTTGGATAGCGAGTTTAGAAAATTATTGATAACTTTGTTACATAAGTGGAAAGCCACCGACAACTCCAATTTGCTTGAGTAAGAAGTAGATAAGCTGGTTTGAAAGCAATTGGTAACTTCGTCACATAAGCAAAAAGTCATTGGCGAGTTTCATTTTAAATGAATAGAAAATAAGTAAATTGATTTGGAAGCCACTAATGGCTTTATCCACATCGATGAAAAGCCACCAACAACCTCACTTCGGACGAATAGAAAGTAGGTAAATTGATTTGAAAGCTACAAACAACTTCAATCACATAGGTAAAAAGCCACCGACAACTATATTTTAGATAAATAGAAAGCAAGTAAATTGTTTTGGAAGTCATTGAAAACTTCTCCCGGACGGATGAGAAGCCACCGGCGGAGTTCAATTTAAAACGAATAGAAAGTCATATAATCATCTTAAATATAATCAAGCAAAGCATTTGATAATTCAATCAATCACAATATGACATTTTCATCATTTTTATTTATTATTTAAAACAAATCTTTACGAGTTTTAAAGTTACCAAAATGTCATCATGGTGTTAATGGTTTCTTTTTGGATCGGTTTTACTTCCTTCAATCTTGATGAAGGCTGATTATTTTAGTTAACCGAGAAGGAGAAAACAAGCTGTTCTTGGGCTCTTTTCATTTTTTTTTAATCTAGCTTAAAGTTCTATAATAAAAATTAGTCCTATTTTTTCAATCCGTTATTCATGTTCCATTACTAATAAATAGTAATAATAAAAAAATTTATAGTGTACAACATCATGTCGTTTCTACCAAGTATACTAAACAAAACCAATAATAAATTTTTTTATGGTGTGTTATTATTATTACCAACATTGCCAACACACATGCTATTACTAGTTAAAGTTAGCTATTTCCATGGTGTTTGTTGCTTAAGCTAACCGATATGGTGAAGCTACTTGTTGAAACAAAACACGACTATGTAGAGTATTCGGTTGGTGATGTTCAACTTGTTAGATATTGTGTTCTTGGACTTAGTTGGTTTTTTAGGAGGGCTGGCTTTGAGGGAGAGTGATGGTTGCTTGTTACTCATGGTTGGAAAAAGGGTTGAACCGGTAGGTGGAATTGCTATGGCTGCTTGTGATTTTGAAATGGGAGCCGTCATGCAATTGCTGATTTGGAACTCTAGCTAGTATAGTGGTTGGTGTTTTGGGCAATGGTGGCGGTTGCCACTCTCGACTAAGGATGAATTGGGGTCGGTGAGGTTTGTATGGAAGAGGAAAAAATGGCGAGTTGATATGTAAAAGATGAAAGCTTCAACTAGAGGTAATGGTGCATGTTTATGGAAATGGTTGCTATCGTAATTCTCGGCTAAGGATGAAAAGGGCTTCGTGAGGTTTGTATGAAGGAGATAGAGATGGCAGCTATAATGAATTCCCTTTCTTTTTTTTTTTGTAGCCAAAGGTAGAGAAAGAAAAGGAAGGCTAAAAAATGGTAGCTACTCTCATTTCCTCTTGTTGTAGCAAGAGGAGGAATGAGATGGAGGTTGTGGTTTTATAGGAAGTGGGCTGGCACACTTTGATGGAGGAGATGGTAGTTCGGTTAAGTCGGGGGGACAATGGTTAAAGGAATTTTAGGAAAGATGAGTGAATAATGGTTGGTATAGGTGGAGATGATGGTGGTTCGGATGAGGAAGGGGTGGTGGTGTTTGGGAGGAGGAGGATGAAGGATTTTGGATGGTAGAAAAAGCTAGGGTTTAACCAATGTGGGGAGAATGGTGGCTGCAATTTTTGGAGGAGATGATGAATTGTGAATGTAGAGAGAAAAAGAGGTATTTATAGGTGGGAATTAAGGCTTTTTGGACAAAAATCAATTTTGGTCCTTGATTCCTCCTAACTTATCAATTTAAATGCAATTTTGATTGTTTGAACTTCAATAGCACCCTTAAATTACAATTAATCAAGACTTTTTTTTTTTTTATATATATTTCTTCTAATTGTACCCTTCATTTTTTTTTTAATTAAGGGTTTTGGGTTTTGAGCTTTTCAATTGTACTCTTAATTGAGTTTTCCTAGTTTCCAAACTTCCTATTTCTTTTAATTAGATCTCAAAACTAATTTGAGCAATTTATTTAAATTAATTTCTTTATATATATATATATATATATATATATATATATATATATATATATATATATATATTTAGTATTTGTTTTTTTTTTCTATTTTCTAATTTTTTTTTGTATTTTTGTCTAAAATAAAAAGAAAACAATAGAGGTGAAAAATTGGATACAAACACCGCATGTGCTTTCTCGCTTAAAGGATTCATGAGGAAAGAGTTTATTGGTTTTTGTGTTCATTTGGATTTTAACTAAATAAAATCCTCCTTATTATAGAAAATTAATATTAAATATTATAACTGCTTAATCTTAAAACATTGCATTATTATTGTATAGTTAATTCTATATATTTCAACTTTTAATATAATATAATAAACTCCTCTCTAATCAAATGTGATTGGAAAAGATTTTATGCATATTATGGTATTAGAGCCATTCATAAAAAAAAAAAAATCAAATAGTAAAAATTTTCCCTAGCTTTCATCTTTAATGACTTTATCAATTTCTCATACCTCATCAACGAGCTTCTCTTCTACCATTTTCGATCAATTAAATTGTGATAATTTTATCATTTGGAAGACACGAATCTAACCCTTTCTTATGGTCAATCACCTTTAGGAATTTCTAGATGGATCAACTTCTTCTTCTACGTAAACAATCACAATAACATAAGATGAAAAATCTGTAACTAAGATCAATTTTAACTATAAGAGTTGGTTTTAAAGAGATCAAATGGCACTTGCATGACTCTTCAACGATATATCGGATTTTATGATGACAAATCTTGTTGGTCTTTTTCATGCACGAGATGAGTGGGTGGCACTTGAATAGTTATATGCTACCTAAAGTGAGGCACATTACAATGCTTTAATGATTGAATTTTGTGATCTCAACAAAGGTTTTTGGTCAATAGAAGAATATCTTGAATAAGCTAAACACATATTTGACAATGTAACTGTTATAAATCGATTGATTTCTACCTTTGACTTTCGCCATCATATTTTAATGGTTCTTAAAACAGAATATGTGGAATACTCCCAACTTAGGAGCTAGTAGGTTGAGAATATTATCGTTGTTGACTTACATTTCAAATGCAATGAACACAAGCCAATAAGGCACTCGTGTTTTTACTATTATTTTCTAGGTGTGGAATTAGCTATGGGAGCCTATCATTGATGGGCGGATCCTAAATTTTAGTCCAAAATGCACTATATTTGTTTTGTGTTTTATGATTTTATTTGCATTGCTTGGACTAAATCTATGATACTCAATTTTCTCAAATTCTTTTTCTATTAGTGTGTATAAATTTATCTACTTTTTACTTGTTATTTAGTATTTAATTTCCTTTATCCTCATTAATTACCATTTATTATAAGTATTTTCTCATATTTTTTATTTTCTTATTATATTATTGATGCTAGCATGTAAGAAAGTAACTTAAATAAAACTACATTAACTATGGCTATTCTACTACTATTTTATTATCGATATTTCGATTAATATACGGACTATCTTTAATTTATATATATCGGTTCTATGTCATCTATTATAAAAATGACTTATTTAATACATCCATTTTATTTTTAACTAACTACTTATTTTTTCATTGCCTTGATTATCATGTAAAAGAAAGATGCCATACCCAAAAAAAATACCAAGATATCGAGCACTAAAATAACTATAGTCTAGAGAAGGTCCACCTTGTAGCCATATCCAAGATATACACGGCACACAATCCCCTGGTAGTCGGCTCAAATGTGAAGATTGCCATCTTTACCTTTTGTGTCTACACCACACAAGAATTTGGTGATGCATGATGAGGATTTTATTACATGAAAAAGGATTTTCAAAGAACATGCATATAATTTATCATACGCATTTCACCGACATGCACATCATGCATAGATTGACTCACCGAGTGAACGCCCGGACCATTCCGTGGACGTGCCCCGTCGAGTCTTTAAAAATACGCATCTACACTCACTCGGCCCCGAAACCTTTAATCATGAAATTCATGGAAGATCCGTGAAGCCTACTTCATAAAATCATGAAAGCCATGAAAACCTCTTAATCATGAAATATTTTCAATTACTATTGAAAAATTCTTAAATGATAAATCCTTTTTCATGACTTAAAACCTTTCTATAAAATCCTTTTTATGACTTGGCATGCTTATGTATTTTAATATAAATGCATAACCATCATGAATCCATAAAATGCCCGCCATGAATGCTATGCAATTATGCCATGATATGCATATCTCAATACCATAATTGCATTATAACTTCCATACCTTGTAATGCCATTTTAAATTAATTTAAACAAGGAACCATTAACAAAAACATTACATAGCTACACATTAGTATATCAATAACATAAGGCATTACACTCTTCAATCATTAAATTCACAACTTCCACCCATAACCATCATGTAATTCACATTCAATGACAACATATAAACTATAATCACAACCATGTACACAATCTAACCACATACCCTAAATTTTTCTCAAGGTGGCCGAATATACCTCTATCTTTGGCTAGTAAATTTCTTCCAATTTCAATGTTAATTTCTCGTGCTAATTTATTAAAATACATATGAATATCAAGAATCTACCCAATGAAGTATTCCTAAGCTAATAACATACAAAAACCATAAATTGGGCCTAATGGGTCGAAATTCTACCTAGGGTAACCTAAACTAATTTTTCAATTTCAATTAAATTTCTCATATTAACTCATATTTTTACATTGTACTAACTAGAAATTAATCAATTAAATAATTAAAAACTCAAAGCATGGAAACCCTAATTTTTTCCTAATTTGGGTCGAATGTGGCCTTAGTGTGACTAGCTGAAAACTTTAATTTTTATGCAATTTTTCATACCCAATCATCAATTCATGCTTAAATAACACCAAATTAAATAATAATTCATCAAACAATTCAAATGATTAAAAACCCTGAAATTGCCATTTTAGATTGAACGGTCCTCAAGAATTTAACTAAGGATTTTTTATTTCTAACACCTATTTTTATGCTCAATTAACATATTCTAACTTCAATTTGATTAATTTCCAAGTCAAAATCATTTCCCCCAAATCTTCCTCACTAAGAATCCTAACCCTAATTTTCAAAATTAATTCAATTAAACATCAATTAAGGGTTCTAAAATCACAATTAACATCCAAAAACACTTCCTTGTGGTGTAGGTGAGATTAAAATACCTAGATAGCTTTAATTAAATCTTGAAACGTTGAATTGCCTTGGAATTTCTTCCTCCTATTTTTGTCCTCTAAGTTTTGACCTAATCCTCAATTTTTCCTCCTTGTGATTTTTTATGTTTTAACTTGAATTATAAGCTTTATTAGGTGTTTTAGGGTATTTATAAGTGGTTGGATGAAAATCTAAGTGGAATCCTATGGAAAATTTGCAAGAGGTTCCCCTAATTTTTCTAAATTTTCTCCCATTTTTCAATTTCTCCACCACCCATATTTATAGGTAGAATTAATTAGACTTTTTCCTTGGTTGACTCTATCTCTACCCTTAATTTGGTTCAATCTTGGCCGTTGATCCTTCTTTTAATCTCATCCCTTTATTTGTGTTAATCTCTAACCATTCATTCTTTCTTTAATTTTTATCTTTCGATCTAACCATCCTCTTTAATCCTTAACCCTCCATTTATACATGCATTAATTACATCTAAATTATTAAGGGGAAAGTGGTGGAAAAAGAGAAGAAAATCTCTTCCAAAATTATTTAATTTTTAGTCCCTCAATTTATTCAACTTTCCTTCAATTACTCTTCCTTAAGTCCTTCAATTTTTCAATTGATTCTTCTAGGCCCTTCCTTTAAGATTTTCCAAACAACTTCTTACTTCCTAAAGTTCATTGCTAATTTAATTTGAAAGTTTAAATTTTTAATTTTATGCAATTAGGTCCTTACTTACATAAATTTT